TACCAAATTATCACATCAGTTGAATATATCTTCTATCTTGCGCAGTTTAAGACTTGAAGATTTCGGAGACAAAAAAGAGCACCATCTTCTTCATCTATTCATTTACATTACCCATCTATCAAGAAAATTCAGCAAACTACAGAGCTATGAACGAGTATTAAGAAGTCGCCTCACTTCTTTTCCCAGTCGAATCAAATACTTCAATTTTTATAATGGAGCAAGTTTCGGCTTCTATATATATTACAAGAAAAATCAACTGTGAATCGCAGCAGAGAGAAATCGATATTTATCGTATTTCCTACAAAAGATTCATTGATTTGTCAAGTTCACTCCTCACGGTAACAAAGTTATTATGGCTTTTTGTCTACTCAGTGAGTACATTATAAAACAAATCATTATATACCGTTACATAATATCGGAGCGGCAGATACGATAGCTCTAAGGCGTCTCTGGACTGGAGCGTTTACTAATATCGCATCGAATCGTCAACACATCATTCGATTGGGCTTGGGCGCAGGCCTAGAGTGTCTGGGCTCACATGGACTTGGCATTTTTTACTTGATTATATTTTATTTTTAGTTTTATTTTTTTTTTTCTTGTTGGTCTCTCTATAAATTGGTTGACTTTCGAAATAGCCAACAGCTAATGAGCGACTTTTGAGGGCATTGACGCTGTCGTTGTGAAAGGAGAACTGACAACAGCAACGGGCAGCGGCAAGCGGCAATAGGGCTATGCCACCTACAACGCCAGCTCCACCTTCGGCTCCAGCTCAGATGTCGTAAGCGTAACGGTAATCGTCATCGCCATCGTAATCCTAACCATGTTACGGTCAAGTGCAGAAAGCACTAGTCGAATTTCATGCAGCTTGAGTTACGGCATTATATCATATGGCCAATTACCATAGCCAAATACCGGATAAGCCAAACCTTGACTTTGGCCACTTGGGCAGCACTCATTCAATTCTAAATACCAGATATTGGGTATATGTATATATGCATACATGTATATCTATAATTCGTCATATAGCCAACCATAGGTGAGGTGAATGCATTTAGCCAATTAAAGCCAAACCAGATGAACTTTTCGGGAATGTCTGTACATGCTAGAGTTGAGCATGCCGAAAAGACACACGCCGCATGCATGTATGTGTGCGTGTGTCTGATTCATGCAACCAATGCTAACGTGCTACATGCTGAGACTAGTGCCCAAAAAATCCACAAGAGCTGCTGTGACTTTAGCAGCTTGGCTAATTCTGGGGCCGTAAACCAGTTTAAATGTCGTTGTCGTTGCTCTGGTTGCTCACGTTGCTGCTGCTGCTGCTGCTGTTGTTGTTGTTACTATGTATTTTTAGTGGCCGCAACAATTGCTTTTTATTTTTAATGTTTTCTTTTTTTTTTTTTTTTTTTTTTTTTTTTTGAATAACTCCTTTTGCGAATTAGCTGCAGCTGTCCTCATCAAACACGTCACAGAACCTAGCAAAAGCGGCAATTAAAAGCTCTTTAAGATCTGCACTTAACACAGAAAGCATATATAGTATATATACTATATAAATATTGCTTATATTGGTGTACTGGACTCTCTTACTTTCGATTTCAACAACATGTATTTCGTTATTTTCGGCTGTCAATTTGGGTTTGCCTCCACTCTGGGCAAACAAGTTGTTGTTGCCGTCCAGCCAGGCTTCGATTGGGCTTTCCCCAGTCTCAATCGCTGCACATGTCCCGCAACTATTACGAAATCCAGCCGCTGTACACCTGCCTGAGGATTTGTATCTAAACCACTTATAGGTCCGTTACAGTTCACGGTTTTTAATATCAAATTAGCATATGCTAAATATGTTTATAGGCATTTTTAACGGGCTTAAAACGTTTTTTTAAATTATTTGCAAAGTTGTTTACATTATTTTTGCAAGAAGCTTTTATAATCGTATTTTGCTATTCAAATAAGTAATTTTTAATTGTTATATAAATTTCGGGAATTCTCTCAACTGAATCATAAGTCATGGACATCAAATCTTAAAATTTTACATTGCCTACCCAAAAAATTATTTAAATAGCCTTCAGAATTGAAGGTGAACTTAAGTTTGTATTCCTAACTGGATAAAGGATTAGCGAAGCAATAAAAAAAATATTTATTAATGAGTTTTAGGTCAGTAAATCACGCATCTTTTAATAAATTTACCTTCCAGGTTATTTTATATCAAATTTCCTAAAGTCTAATCCTTCATTTATCAACAATTTTAGTTGAAATAATTTAAGCATGCAAATTAAGTCAAATTAAAATGAAATATTTTTTGTTTATTTATGCATATATTATACTTAATAGCTAACACAATATAATGACAGAGCTTTAATATTTTAAAGCACAGCCACAGTGTCATATATCGTATGTGATATATAAATTCGAAAGCTTTACTTTCAAGTCCCTTCACAGACTGCTTAACTGCCTTGCTGAATTACATTTAATTACTCACCTAATGTCTGCTCTATATAAAGCCAATTAATTGCTTTAATTGTGTCCTAATCTGTCATGTTAACAAAATCCAGCACATTTAGTAACCGCATTTATTGCTGCTGAGAGATGTGCATCATCAGAATTCCTCCTTTAAAAAAATAAACTGGTTTAAATATTTATTTTTGTTTTTCTGTACTAAGTGCGCCGCATTCCAAAACAGAACACAAAAGCATTTAAAATATAAAAAATATAAATTTAACATAATTAAATCAAAATAATAAACGCTCGATATAATTTTGTGAGGCTCGTTTAACTTGTATGCCATACAGTTGTCTGACGTGTAGGCTTAATTTGTTTTACCAGATTGGTTAGATATATAACCACAAATATCGATTATCAAGAAGTTCAAACAAACAGAATTGAGCTTTGATTGCCAAATTGCGATAATGAACTTGTAAATGCAAGTTAGCTAAATAAACTAGTTACGCACACGCTCACACTTACACATGCTCAGACACACACACACTAGTTGCATGCAAATTTACGGAAGATGTGCTGTCAGCTGCGAGCTTAGCTGAGTTAAAAGTAGCAGCAACTTTGCATACTGGCCAACAGAGCGTATGATTAATAGCCGTGTCAACAAATATAAGAGCACGGAATTGCCACTGCAACTTGAAGTTTAGGCGGTTTTTATGGCGCCCGACATTGCCCCGCCGTTTATCATAATATACCCTATGAGGTAGACACGCAATGGGTATATAGAGTTTAATGTTTTATATATATTTTCTTATTATTTTCTATTTTCTTTGTATACCCTGAACCCATTGAAAATGGGAAATCAGGGTATAATGTTTTTTTAAAAGTGTGTAACAGGCAGAAGGAGGCATGGCGGACCCCACAAAGTATATATATTCTTGATTAGGGCGACGAGCTGAGTTGATTTGGCCCTGTCCGTCTGTCTGTCCGTCCGTCCGTCCGTCCGTCCGTATGCATGAACGCGTCGATCTCAGAAGATATAAGAGCTAGAGACTTGAATTTGTTTTTCCTAGGTCCGTGTATATCACGCGCATATCGAGCTTTTCTATAAATATCGATCAATATTCCCGATATTTTATTATCGATTAAACCCCTTATCGAAAGCTAGTTTATTTAATTATATCTCCTACACCTTTAGAGCTAGAGCTTCCAAATTTTAAATGTAGACTTATATCTTTATCTCCCACCCCTATATCCACCCCCTCACCATCACCTTTGTAAAAGGCGTATTTCAAGTACTAGAGACTTGTGCTTTGAAATGTACATATATTTGAACATTATGATTATATTCTGAAAGTTTCATTAAGATTGTACATCTAGAAATAAAATTATTCATTAAATAAATTCTTATAATATTGCCCACACTGCAGCGCAGTCTAAGCGCAATCGCTGCTTACTGAGCAGTTAGCAGAGCGCGTTCTAATACGTGCGCGTGTATGTATGTGTGTCTAAAAGAAGAGCAGAGTGATTAGAATATCAGATTGGAGGGTTCAGGGTTATGGCACTTCGACTAACATATATATATGTGACTCTCGAAGATCAAGAGTTGACAAAAAGCCTTTATGTATGTATATACCTTTTATCATTTCCGCCAACTCCAATAATCAGACATCTATAAATTCTCCAGGCTTCAAAGGAGAGACAATAATGCTTAAATTTCTGATTTGTATATTTAAAAAGTCTAGTCTTATAATATATACATTTCATATATATACGTACACGTATATATTTTTCATTCAAGTACGTTTCTTTCTTTTTGAAATGGAACAAAAGAAAACGTCTCCCTGACTAAACGTAAAAGGTCATCAAATGTGTTCCCATAAAAACCTGAACTTGAAATTTCTTTCGTTCTTTTATGCGAATTGCATTTCGCAACAAAACACTAATTAAATTAAAAATAATACAAATTCAATGTTAAAGTTAAATTAATAATTCAATTTGGTTTCTTTTAATTTCAAGTTTTTATTTTATATTTAACAACATTGAATGTTACGTAAATAAATAAATTTATAAATATCATTGTGATATTTATATATTTAAAGGAGATAGCTCAAGGTACGATTTAACAACTTTTGAAAAATAGTTTACATTTAATTTATTCCCAGTAATATAACTATAAATAAATAAATAAATACAATAAGCTTTAATAATTAAGTAATTTTCTTTAAAAAAAAATAAAAATAAAATAAAATTAATTCCCAGATATATTTCCATTAAAATATTTATAAATACAATTCAACTTGGAGTAATTAAACTAAAATTATATATATAAATTGATTTCGCATTGACAAACAGCAGTTTCCAGCTGTAATAAATATTCAAATAAATATCTATACAAAATAATAAACACTTAATTAAGGCCAGTTTTAACATCACAAGCAACGCCGCAGATATAGTATATACACCCTATAGGGTATACTTCTGCTTCGACACCTCAACGTGCAGCTTTGCTGTTTGATATTTGAGTTTTGAAGAAAAAAAAGCTCTTATAAAATTCGGTGCGCTTGTGATACGAGCGCAGTCGCAAAACGGCAATCGCAACGCTTGGACGTGTCGCGAACAGCACGAAAAAAAATCAGATAAAGCGAATTTGTATAGCCCGCTGAATGTGCCTCAAAGTAAGCTAATGCCAGGGGAAAACCTCTAAATGCTAAAACGCCAACCGCTAACCGTCAACCAGCAATCGCTAACCGCTAACAAATTGGCCAGCAAAACAAAAGACTTAGGCAACGAACGCGAATACATTTCTCGGCTGTGGCACGGGGCACGGTCTTCAACGGTTAAAGTGGCAATTGGCATGCGTCTCTGTGTTAAAGTGTGCAGTGCGGTGTATTGTGCATCTGAATCGAAATTGCCACAGTGTGTGCGGCTCAGTGTGCGAGCCATAGCCAAACTCCCAGCGACTCTCACCATATCCGTATTGCATTCTACAAGAGCCGCGGATATCGATTGCAACAAATGTATATATGTATACATACATATCTAAATAGATACGTATATGCAATTAAGCTATCCATAGCCAAGGGTATGCTGTTGGCCAATAGCCTTGTTTAGCAATTGGCCAAAAGTGCACACCGGCTGCCGTGTTGCACTTCTTGCGTGGCCAAAACAAAAAGAACTCTGTTAATTAAGTTGGCCAGCAACGCGTGTTGTTTGCTTTTGCTTTTGCCAATCGATCGCCACCGCCAAGTGTGAATCGAGATCGTGTTGGCATCCAAACTTGGCTATATCTTGCTGGGTGTATGTGTGTGAAACAGCTATATCAGATTATACAGTATATATATTGAATGTGGAATCTAAAGTGTCTAGCGAAAATATAAATTCTGCAAGGGCATACATATTCACACACATATAGCCGCGTGTGTCTGCTATATCACATATATATGCTGTAACTTATATGTCTCTCTGCCATAAGCCATATATGTATATTCTAAGTCTGTACAATCAATTACTCCATTTACTCATCTGTTCTTATTGTCTGGATAAACAGGTTTCCATGATATTATCACATTAGCTATAACGTTTAATAATTTTATTATTTATAATATTATTATATTATAATATAATTAATTTTATATGTCAGCATGACAAACTGGTTGTATTTGATTGTATCAATCCAATCGTAAACCATCCAGTTGCTCAGAGAAATGATTCAAGTTATATAGCATTTTTATTGACAATTTCAAATCTTCTGAAAATGTTTTGAAAAATATGCAGCCAAAAATTAAATCAATAATTAATTACTTCATAATAGCTGAAATTCATTGCTGAAGATCAAGTGTAAACATTTAGAGCGAATGTTTAAATCTGTGAAAAAATAATTTTTCAAGCTAAATATATTGCATAAAATATAATTCGACTTTAGTCGATTTTCTTATGGTACAAACTTAAGCATACTGAGAGCATTTTATTTTGGTAGTTCTCTTACTAGATCATGCTTCTCTTTTTTGACTTATTCCGATGCTCTCTCAGATCTTCAATAAATGTAATGGGTTTATTAAATCCCAAGACATCTAAAACTTAAAATTAATATGAAGTGCACTTGTCTTTGTTAAAAATACCCCAGAAGAGTTTTCTGTGTATAAACATTCTGCGTAGAGTGTGAATCTTGGAAAACTCTTGTAAAAACTAACCTCACTTTACCGTTGTACTCAATAAACATCTCGTATATATCATCTTCATGTTAAAGCCACTCAAAGCAAATTTGAATTAAAAACTCAATTTTTCACTTCAAACTTTCATCAAATGCAATATAAACACATATATCGTATATGATTTATACACCGTCTTTTATATCTACCATAATACTAGCGTTTACATTTATGGCTCTGCTCGCTTTATGAGGAAGCAGCTTCGTCACGTTTGGCCTCTGAGCTCAACTTTGTGGCTGGTAATTTTTATTGTAATCACGTGTTAATTTGGAAACGATGGCGCTTCCGTGCGACCCTTAATTAGATCAAATTCAAAACTTAATTAAAAACTGAAGAAAAAGAGACAACAAGAAAAAACAAGTGATTCATATTTATGTTCTCACATGGCGCTATATGCATATAGAATGCTCCAGTTGCAGCAATTAAACAGTTTGCCACATTGTCTGCCACATCTATCTGCATGTCTGTGCCATGGTGCAACGCGTGAGAATGTCTACAGATAAGACATGAGAGAGTGAGAGAGAGGGAGGGAGAGGGCAAGAGGGAGCTCAACTCTAGTTAGCTGTCGTGTGGCAAGTGCTGCATGAAATAGTTGAACTCGCTTTGGTCTCTGTTTCTGTGGCTCTGTGTGTCTTGGGCTAACAAGCTGAGACGCTCGGGAATAAGCCCACATTACATATATAAATATATAACTTATTGATCAAATGTGTGTTAAGAGTTCCGGCAGTAAAGTCAAGTATTGTATTTATTATTGAAAGTATAAATGCAATATTCGATTCCTTCTCTCTCTCTCCCTCTCCCTCTCTCTCTCTGTCTCTGTCTTGGCCTTTGCTCGCTGGCTGTTTAGCTGGCGGGCTTATACAAGATTATAACTATAACGAATGCCGGTTACGAGTTCAGCAAACAAGTTTGCGATGAATTTTATTTCATTTTTGTAACAATCAAACAATTTACAAATTTTAAAATGAAAACTTCAGACATGCAACACATGAATTATGCCATTTATTGTTGTAGAAGAGACAGCAGAGACAGCCGAGACCTATGCGCTTTGTAAGCCCTTTCGCTTTTATGGCGCTATCTTGTTAACCGGCTGTCATCAAAACCCCCTGAAGGCCAACTCTTGACAGCAGGCCTAATTTGCTGTCCAATGTCAGGCGGGACAGCGATTATTATGACTTATTTTATTTACAATTTTCGTTGTGAAGATAAAACATGAAATTGTTCGCATTTCCGCTGTGCATTGCATAATTCTTAATTATTTAAAAAAAAAAGAGTAGAAATTTTTTTTTGTTTATTATTAACTGTTGACATCTTTTACATAATTTATATCAATTTTTCGCACGAGACAGTTTTAAACTAGTTTTGATTAGCTTATCTTCAGATAGCGCCAAACGTAACGCAATTACCCAAAAGAAAGTGAAAACTAGAAAAATTACCAAAATATTGAAAGCATGTTGTGCGTGTGTGTCTGTGTGTGAGTGCGTATGGGCTAGACAACAGTTAGCCATAAATCAAATATATAATTGATTAGGTGAAACGAAAAATAAAACTTAGTTTGTCAATTTGATAAAGCTTCGCCTTTACTTAGTTTAGCTGCCAAGCCAAAGAGTGTCTAGCAAAACGAACTGTCAGCAAAATTTATGCTCAACTCTTGCGCATGCCATGCACGTTATGCACGAGGGTCGACTCCAAACTTTTAATGGCCAGCAGGTGTTGGCTTGCCTTATATTGCGTGTGAATTTCTGAATGGGCATATTGAGTTATTGAGTGTGGCTAATGATGATTGGCTGGCCATTTACTTGGAAGCAGAGCTCGAAAGAAAGAGCTTGAAAGAGAGAAAAAATATTGAACAACAAATTTACTCTTATAAATGAGCTAGTTCTTCATTTCTATTCCTGTTATTCTCTTTCTGTTTTGCCTCTGAGTAGAAAACAAGCTGACAAATAAGTGGATTTTTTTTGTGCTATTCTTGATTTGAATTATCATAATTTAGAAGTCATCTTCATTATTTAAAACATTTGTATAGAATATATGTATTTTGTTAGCCAAAAAGTCGCATATCATTAAAATTGTTCAATAGGTCTTATTTCCCACAAAAATCATAAAAATTTCTATGCTCAGTTTTTGCAAACATGAAACTGGTTTGTGTAGTTAAAAGAGCATCAATCAATATGTGACATCTATCAATTGCTGTTATACTTGACCAAAACTCATAAGAAAAACACTCAAAGTAATTGCAAGCAAATATTGCTGTCAAGCGCCGCAGGATTTCGCGAAGGTCTCTCCAGATGTGGTGTTACAGTGGCTCGACATATGTGTATATGAAATGTCATGGGAATTATTATGGGAATTTAACAGCTGTGAATTATAAATAGAAGTAGAGATACATTCACCTGATATAAATGCTAAGATAAAACCAATTTAAATAGTATTCCCACCAGCCTAACAATATAAACGACAACCCTCGTGGTAAATCTCATGTGCATATGATATAGAGCACTCTACGTATGTGTGTGTAATGTACATTATATATACATATATTTCGCGTCAGCAACAACTGCTCAATCTTAATCATAGAGCTCTGTCTTGATCGCAATCACAGCCGTGCATGCGAGACCAGCTATTAACAAGGCTAAGCAATAGACAAGCCCCATTTGAATACAATATCTTGACAACTTCAATTGTAATCTGCAATGCCCGCAATTGGCTGCATATACAATAATATATAATAACAATATATAAATCTGTTAACAAAGGGCAAGAAATGACATTGCATATATTAAATGGTTTATATATGCAATCCTGAGTAATCCAGTAAACTATACTTCATGTATTGAATGGGTTTATAATTGAAATTAGCATTAGCTATGCATCGATTTAAGTTCGATTTAATTAAGTCTTTGATAGATGGCATTCATCTGGCAAACTTTCAATGAGAACAAGCGACAGTGCTTCAATATGGGCTATATTCTATATACTATTTAGTCTATAGCCATATTTGAAATATTAAATATAGTATACAACTACAAAGAAAGAAATAATATCAATATTATTTTTATAGATATATTATTTTTATATATTATTTTTATAGAATTATGCTTTGATCTGCGCCGACTAAAGCCCACTTATTTTCAATTTGCAATCACTTAAGAAATCGCTTGGCTTATTATAGAAATATATACTTATTTTTTCTTAGAAAAAGAAATTATTTTTAATTTATTCCCTTATATAAGAAATACCAGATAAAAGCCCCATAAAATATTTATATAATAAAATAATTAATTTTAACTCGCTTCAATTTCATGTTAATTGATTGAGAAATCTATAATTATTTGCATACAATTAACATAGATTTGGTGTTGATGGGCATATTAAATGATTGATTTATTGAAATTTCCAGCGTGAATCATTAACTAGTTTGTTTATTGGCCACATCAAGTTGGCTAAATTGAATTGAATTGCAATTGTATTCATTTTCACGATTTTCAGTTGTTTATGGCTAATTATTTGAGTTTATATGAATGCGATTGCCTAATTTTTTCCCCCTCATTTAGCCGGGATTCGCCATGCAACGCTTTCTGCTGACCACTGTCCTCTGCTGGCTGCTCTGTCAGCTGCCTGGTGGCGCCCAGTCATCTGGCCTGCAGGTGATGAAGCAATGGAAGCTGCTGCGCTACAACTTTCCAAAGCAGATGCGGTCCGGCGATACGAACTTTTATAATCCGGAAAATGTGCTCATCACGGGCATTGCCGTCACGACTGATCGCATTTTTGTGGCCACGCCGAAGCTGTTCTCGGGCGTGCCATCGACTGTGAGCTGGGTGCCAAAGGACAAGATCGGGGACTCACCCACGCTGCAGGCATTCCCCGACTGGTCCTTCTCGAACACAGCGCGCACGAACTTCAACTGCAGCGATTTGATTCTGACCTCGGTTTATCGCCTGCGCATTGACTCCTGCAATCGCCTGTGGTTGCTTGATGCGGGCATCTCGCGTTCCCTGGAGGATTACGAGCCCACCTGCCCGCCCAAGATACTCGTTGTCGACCTGAAGACGGATCGCGTCGTTCGTCGCATTGACTTCCCGCCCGAAGTGCTGCGCGGTGAGACCCTGTTCACCAACATGGTCATCGATGAGACGACGGCCACGTCCTGTGACGACGTGTTCATCTACATAACGGATACCGTAGAGCCGGGCATTATTGTGTACGACAGCGGCAAAGATGTAACCTGGCGTGTCTCGCATCCAGGTACAAATCTAAGTCAAAGATAAAAGTGTGAGCTTGTTTTATATGTATGTCAATCGTAGCCATGTACCCGGATCCGGACTTTGCGCAATCCGAGATACTCAACGATCGCTTTGTGCTGATGGACGGCGTGGTGGGTCTGACATTCGATGAGAAACAGGGCATTGTATACTTCCAGCCACTGGCCACAGATCGGTAAGATTTGAGTCTATCTAGGTATATGGAATCTATATATGTATATCTGTATACTCCCATCTCTCCCAGCGTCTTCTCGGTGCACAAGGACGTGCTGCGCAGTGGACCGCTGCCCAATGGCCAAATGCTGGACGTCAAGCTGGTGGGCAAGAAGTCGTCGCAGGGCATTGGCTTGGCGGTGTCCCCTTATGATAGCAACCTGATCTTTAGTCCGCTCACTGAGACGGCAATTGCCACCTGGAATCCGGCGACCAATCAGCAAGCTGTCCTAGCGCAAGATGTCGACCGGCTGCAGTTTGTCGCGGACCTGACCACGACACGGGCAGAACCGGGCGTCGTCTATGCCATATCCTCGAAGTTCCATCGCTTCTTCCTCAAGAACCTCAATCCCAATGAGTATAATAATCGCATCCTACGCATCGAACTGCCACAGGTCAAGGGCCAAACTCTCAAGAGTCCCTTGCTAGGCCATTCCCTGCCTTTGCCCACAGCCCCAGCTCACAATAGCCTGCTCCACTACAGCCTGTACAATGCTCCAGCACACACGAACATCCACGTGCACTCGCAGGCGAACAGGAATGCGCTGCAAACGTACTTTACCAGTCCGGCCTTTGGCACGCCCCTGACCACCAAGACGCCGTACAAGTTCGAGAATACGGGCTTTGTCAACTATGGTCTACGCAATCCATTCACGGCGCTCAATCAGGGCGAGGCCTTTCCGCCCAGCAAGGCGACACGTGACAACTATCAGCGGTCCTATCTGGACACCCTGGTGAGCAGCCCCGTGACCACGCCTGCAGCTGCGCCCACGCCCTACCCTCAAAGCCTTCGCCACAGTGGCTTCTACTATCCCTAAACGGACTATTTTGTATTTGTATATTCTTTTGTATTTCTGTAAATATTTTGTTTAATTTATTTTAATTTTTGTTTCCGCCTCTCTTTTTATTTGTTTGTAAATATTTTATGATTTTCTATAATAATTGGTTGTTAATCCAAGAACATGTCCTTTTCATGTCATTGAACAAATATACATATACATATATAAATAAAAAAAAAAAAAATTTACTTTTATTGATTGAGGCACTGAGTGTGTAGAGAAAAATATTTTTAAGGACTTTACATGCAGCCTATTTCAGTATCTATTTCAGTCTGAGTATGGGATGGAATAGTCCGAAATTGAGGCAGACTATGCAGAAATCGTAGTCGATGAGAGAAATATAAAGCAGAAGAAACTGCTATCTATGCCATCCAATAATTATAAATAATATATCAAATTAACATTTAGCCTTATTGCATAACTTGGAGGAAAAAAATACTTAGGGGAAATTCTTGGAATAAATACTGTGAAGACATATTTGGGAGACATATATAGAGGAAATACTTGGAAAAAATACTTAGGAGAAATACGTGGAAGAAATAAATAGAGGAAATACTCAAAATAAATGCTTAGAGGAAATACTTTACAATTCTTAAATGAAATACATAGAAGAGTTCCACTTTTTATTTTTCTACAAATTTCATAGTTTCTTAGGACACTAACTAAAGTTTGAAGTTTATAATGTACTCTCGCGAAGTTTAAAGAATCATATCATCAAAGATAATTAAATATTAAAGATAATTAACTGATTATAGAATGTTGTAAACTGATCTAAAACAGATTCTAAAACAAAGTTAGAGTTCAGTATGAAATCAATTTATAGACAGTTGTGAATGTCAAAGAAGTTGATTAGCCGAAACACGACTTTGACATTTGTTTCAGAGTATTTAACTACAATTAATTGAACTATCTAAAAACCTTTTCAATTTTGCTGTTAACTGAATGTTTGACTATATATCTGACTAACAGCTGCCAGCTGAAGTCATAATAAATTGATTAAACAAATTTTTAATTACATAATTAAGTTACAGTTTCTGACAAGTTGAGCTCTGGCGCTCTCAAAGCCGACTTTAATGAGCCATAAAACGACGGCTTAACCAGTTCTCAAATGAAATTGTGATTTTATATTTTGTTTGTTTCTATCTTAGGCAACGCTTTCGGGCGATTTCTCGCTTATGGTGGCTTGGTTCTGCTTGGCTAATCTGAACTTAAGTTTCATTTGGTTTTGGTCTTTGGCTCGACTTAATTGATACAAAATAAGTGCAAAAAATGCAGCCGATTCGTAAATTGATTGATCGAGTAGGCCATAATTTTAAACGTTTCCAAAACTTTAATGACATTAAATTCCTAAGCGTTGCTGTAAGAGAAATAAATTGTTAATTTGTTTTGAAGCAACTTCCGCTCTCTTCATGCCTTAAACTGGTTGAGAATCGCAAGCATTCAGCTGTGGAATCGTGCAAAGTCCGCTTTATGTGCATAGCTGAAAGTCCATTCAAATTTCAAAAATTTCTTTTTAAAGCACTTGCAGCCTGAGCTGTAAACATCAAAACATTAAAGAAAACAATTAAGATTGATTAAGTTTTTGGCTATTAGACTAGTGGATACTCTGTAAACTCATGATAATAAATATTTTAATTATTGAATAAGAAAAATTGTAGGAATTATTTAACAACTTTTTAAACTTTACTTTCTGGTCTATATAAAAAATATTTTAGAATATTTTTATAAAAATATCTGTTTTTCCAAACTGTTAAACTACCCTCGGAAAGACAAAGTTTTTTTACTATAGGCTCAAGCCGTAGGTACAAAAGCTTGCAACTATTTCTCTGTCTCTTGCTACAATATATTATATACATCAGCACTTTCACTGTTTACAGGGTATATACAAATTTGAGTACTCCTTGCAAAATGGAATGTAAGTGGCATGAAAACATGGAATCAAACACGCTGATACAAAAATAAAAACATGTGACGGCAAACGAAATTCCGGCGCGTGGAAAAAGCAAGTTCACTGACGATCCCAAATACCCGAAGATCGACCAACTGTAGCCGGTTTGGCTTTGATGGTTTTGGAGTGTTGGCTCAGAAGTGGTTAAGCCTACACTCAAATTGCGGGTTGACAGCATTTTCCGGCAGACAGCGGGCGGCCGGGCAAGCGGATGAACGAGCGCAGGAGTGAGCGAGAGGCAGATCAATTAACATGCTGTGAGCCAAGGAGGATGGATGCAGGTGGCATGAAGTGTGCGTGTTCTATGCGTCTATGTAAATAGAAAGAGAAAAGGTGTCCATAAATCTCACAAGTATTTAACGGCAATAAACTCGACGTGTATGTGTGTGAGTGCGTGTGTACCTGTGATAGGGCTCTCGACTGTTTTGCCCCTTTTAGGGTTTGTTAACACTAGCTAGGCCAACATTGGCCCTACCTGCGGCTGCACCTCAGTGTTGCAGCATCGCCTGAGCAGCTAAGACGAGATTTTCATTTTTCTTTTCGAGCTCTTCAAATGTTTCGTGTCAGCATTGTCCTGTTGGCAGTGGGCCTAGTCCTAGTCCTGGCCAATGCGAATACCCAACAGTTGCGCATTAAGCAGCTGCACACGCTACACAGGTGGAGCAATCTGAGCCTGGGACTAGATGAGGCCAGCAATAGCCATTTCCTGCCCGTCGATCTGGACATTGAGTATGGCGACGAGGGGCGTCATCGCACATTTCTGACCATACCACGCCTGAGCACGGGCACGCCATTTACGCTGGCCACCGTGGCAGCGGCTGATAATAAAGTGGTTGAGAATCCCCGCCTGGAGCCCTATCCCAGCCTGGAATGGCATCAGTCAGCTAACAACTGTTCGGGCATCACTTCGGCTATCAGGACTTATGTGAGTTCAGGCTCCGAGATGAGCTTAAACGTATTTTAACATCTATTCCGCCTGCAGATTGATGAGTGCTGGCGCCTTTGGGTCGTGGATTCGGGTCAAGTGAACTCCTTGCAGTTGTGTGCTCCACAAATCTTGATATTCGATCTGGTCAAAGATGTCCTGGTGCAGCGTACCATGCTGGCCCCGCACATGTATACACCCAGCGTATCGATTTTTACGGCGATGGCCGTGGATCTGGCTGAGAGCAAATGCTTGGGTGGCTGGGCTTATATAGCGGACGCCTGGGGCTATGGCCTGATTGTTTTTGATGCACTCACTGACAAATCCTGGCGCATCGAGCACGAGTCCATGCAGCCGTCCTTGGGAGTGCGTCGCTTTGGCAACGCCCATGCTGGCATTTTCACAGTGAGCTTGAGTCCGCGTCACGCAGCAGGTTGTCTCGTTCACATCATCTTGAAAACATATCTCTACTTCTTCCTTCCTTTCGATTTCAGAGCGCTTTTTGTATTTCCACACGCTGAACAGCTTCTATGAGATAGCCCTTCCCTTGCACGTTGTCAACAATGAGAGCATCTGGCAGCAGCAAACCTCGAGCAAGGCGATCAGCAAACATTTTCGCATCCTGGGCACGCGTGGCACCCAGTGCGAATCTGAGGTCATGGACAGTGGCGGTAATCTCTACTGCAGCCTCATCAGCCTGGGTGCTTTGATCAGCTGGAACGAGCATTCCAATTACACTGCAGACGATATACGCGCGGTGGCCTACAATCCGCAGCAGCTTAAATTTGTAACTGGCCTGAAAATCAATCAGAACTCAAAGGGAGAGAATGAACTATGGGCGTTGAGTAGTGAACCGAATCTCTTTGTGGGCGGCACCTTGAAAGAAAATGAGATTAAGTTTCAAATTGTTGGCTGTCGTACAGCGGATTTGCTGGCAAATAGACCATGCACAGTGGGCGCCGCGCAGTCGTAATTACTCTTAATAATACGTATTAGTTTTAAACTTAATAAATCGCTTACGCGCATTAGCTGCCTGTCACGACACGCAGTCAGCTGTTGTGGCCAAGTGAATACCGATTACACTGCTATCGATTTGTCGTTCATCACTAGGCCGGCCGCTTGTTTACGTGTTGCATTAGAGGAGTGTTGATTATTTGGAATTTCTATATTTGTATTAATAATTAGCGTTAAACATGACAAATCTACAGCGTTGGCTATTCTATGCAACGCTCTTCGCGGTGCCTTACCTGAGCATTGTATTGGGAACAGTGCAAACCTCATTTACAACCAAATATTTGCTACACATTCAACTGCTACCGCTGGTGCTGCTAGTTCTTTTTGGTGTAAGTTTCTAAAAGAATCCCATTCATACTTCAGGTTAACCCATTTTTATTTACCTTTAGATATATTCCGCTTGGATTGTGCTGTATCGCACTTTCACATTTAACGACTGTCCCTCAGCTGCAAAGGAATTGCAGCTGGAGATATTGGAGGCGCGGAAAGATTTGATTGCAAAGGGATTCAAGTTTCGCGATTGATGCCACAGAGAATGTTTTTAATTAAACTGACATCTGCATGTACATACATTTATAGCTGAATACATTTATTGTAATCTGTAATTCCATTTAATATAAAGAGAAATTTGAGGTGTAAGTAAAACTTTTATTCCCTGAGATCTGCGTGCAGCCTTACCGCAGTATATGAATTCAATTCCCATTCGAATTGAGCCCAACACGATCCAATTAGCTGCGCTATGCTAATTATCATTTTCCACAGAGAGCGCGAATGCTGCTGTACCCTTAACAAGAGAGACACAAACCTCCCCTCTAATTGAATTACGCTGCTTTTTAGTGCACTTCTACTAAGCTTTGGCCTATGCATTAGCCGCGTACGATCTGTGAATTGTAATATGCATGCACACATATGCATGTGTATGCATATATACACATATACTTCTATAGGACCAAGCCCAACTCTAATTACGTATGCATGTGAGCGTTCGCTCTCGCGCTCAGACTGGAAAGCAGTGGAGCCGCTGCTGTTGCTGTCCAAACCAAGAGGCGAAACGTTGAAACAGTTCACGCTTAGACGTCAGCACGTTCACAACAACTAGCGCTTTAATTGTGTCCGTGTCAGCATAACATAAATCGTTACCCGTAAGAAGAGGAAAATAAAAAGAAATCAAGAAGCATGACTCACAAGATTATATTATTGGCCTGCCTGGCAGTTTCTGTGTGTGGCGCCGCTAAGGTAAGTGTTACATAATCACAGCAAAACTTACACACTATCAAATTAAAATGCAAGCAATGAAATTCGCGATTTCAACAAAAGTAATGTACTGGGTCAGGGTCGACAGTCTTAAATAAAAGAAAAATAAAAAAGAAGCAGCCTCGCGCCTATTTCAAATGCAGCAACAAGTGGCGCGCCCTATAAAATGGGTTGAATGAACTGATGATGGAAAATGCTGCAGCTGGAAAATATTTAATTCACATGTATATACATACATATATGCATAAATAATTGTATAAATTCAGTTTTCTCTGTTGTGTTTTTGTTTTGAGAGCCAAAACCGGTTCTTAATGCCGACCAGTTTCCATTTCATTGTATTTAAATGTGTGTGTATGTGTGAGTGTAATGCATGCGGGAACCGGTGCTGTCTGCTTGCCCACTGGCCACTCTTGGAAGCCTCTTTCCAGACAACCTGTTGTTGCTCTTGCTGCTGCTGCTGTTCACAAGAATGGAACTCATAACAGTTCTACTGATGAGCTTCCAGTATAGACAGCACTATAAGAACTTCTGTCTGGTAAAAAAAAAAAACAATTGAACACGATGGAATTATAAGCAAATTTCGTTTGTTGAAAACAGAGTTGTATCTATTTATGCATGTGTATGTGCGGCTACGCTGGCATTTTTAAATGAACGTTTTATTTAATGCGCATCATTTGCCGACTTAGTCACGACAAGTTGTAATTTGCCTCATGCAAAATTTCGCAATCTATAGTTAAAAATTTGTTATTAGGTTCACAAAGATTATGGAAAATATATGTATATGAATTATATGAGATTGTATACTCATTTGTTTTTATCAAATAGCAATGTCTTTTGCAATATGTTTAAATGAAATATGCCAAACTGTGGAGCTTTATTTTATGTAGAAATAAAAACCAGATGTTGGAAAAAAAAAGGAGAAATATAATTAACAATAATATTTGGAATGTCAATCAGCTGAAATATTTTTGCAGATATATTAATCTATGTATGTATGTATGTGTATATATATATATGTATACATTCGCGTGCACAGACTTAAACTTAAAATTTTGTAGACAATTAGCGTATATCTTCCATTTCTTTTTATTTATATATTTACATATACATACATATGTACATTATACTTGCTGATGGATAAGTAAATAAAAATTATATAATTAAATTTTGTTTAGCATTAGATCCATTATTTTGATTCATACATATATATTTTCATATGCATAATTATATTTATTTTAAAGATTGCTTGATAATTAAAAAATTATTTAAATCAAGTTATCATTTTTTGCACATGACATGTATATATATATATGTACATGTGCATATATTTATGTATGTATATAGATAATCACGAGATATTTTTAGAAGTCTGGCAACGCGATGATATTAAATGTAGCTTCATTTAGTGTGATTAAAGTATATAGAACACTTTGTTTTGGAAATATAAAGACTATAAAGTTAGCCATTTATGATATACTCTTTCAAAGAGAGCAAATGAGGCCTAGCTCTTTTTTTGGTTCATACCCTGAAGCCATTGTTTGCTTTTGTTCGAGTCACAGAATTCAATTTTTGGCTGTGCTCAGTCAAACGAAACTGTTTTGCATTTGCAGTAGAAATGCAAATTGGCAGGCACAAAATATGGGCATCACATTATGAAGCATGTGCATTATACGACACACCCATACACACACCCACACACACCCGCATACACCTGACTCACACCTGTATTGCATTGTTTACCAGGTGCCCGTTGCCATTTACTATGAGTCCCTGTGCCCGGACAGCGCCAAGTTTATTACGGAGCAACTGTATCCGGCGATGAAGACCGAGCTGCGTGACTTCGTCGAACTGACATTTGTGCCCTTTGGCAAATCCCAGGTGAGTCAATGGAACAATGCCTCATTTGTCACACTGGCGCACTAACTAACTGAAACTCTTCATTCTCCATTTGCATTTCCCACGCAGTTTTTCACACAAGGCTCGGAGGTGACCTTCACCTGCCACCACGGCCCCAACGAGTGCTACGGCAACAAGGTGCATGCCTGCGCCATTGAGCACATTCAGGCTAATTCATACCAGGTGGAATACACCCGCGAATCGCTAACGCTTGACTTTATCAACTGCCTGATGCGCGCCGGCAAGAACTTCCCCGACAACGTGTACCCCGGCCAGCGTTGCGCTACGGAAAACCATGTCAACAACTGGGAGAACATCAAGACCTGTGCCAACACCACCGATGGCAGCATCCTGCTGCGCAAGGCTGGCGAGACCACGCAGCGACTAAAGGAGCCGCTGACCAGTGTGCCCACCATCCTGTTCAATGAGGTAGGCCCCAGCTAGCCGCAGGCTCCCCAATCTTATCAGCGACTAAAATTGATTCTCCTTTGACCTATCGCAGCAATTCGACAAGAAAGTCAATGAGCGCGCCCAGGTCAACTTTGCCGGCACGCTCTGCAAATATGTGTCGGCGCCCCAGCCCCGCATCTGCGCCCAACATAACGGCGCCATGGGTCTCGTTGGCACTGGCTCCCTTCTCAGCGCCATCTTGGGCATCTGGTTCATGCGTCAGCTTTTCAACTAAGTGCTCGGCATGAATATCTAATTTGAATCTCCGCAATTTGTATATTACTTTATTATTTTACATCCCAGCTTAATTAAAATCCGTCCACAGTTAGCTCTAGCATTTATGCAAAAGTTTATCAAATAATAATACAATCGGAGCTTTAACAAATTAAAGATTTATCTATTTGAAACTAGACTTTGATTGTGTTTATCTATCAATGTGCTGAAAATGTATTAAAATGTGGCTATATAAATTTAATGATTGATGCATTTTCATTGGAATTTCTATATGAAGTCGGAGCTGTAATTGGAGCGAATTGCATATGACTTAATCTGCCTCCCTGACTAACTTGATTAATAGTATTACAAGTTTTTATTTAACAAGGTTTCATTCTTAAAATCTGTATTTTCCATCTGTGAGAATTGAGTACTCGTGTTGTAGTAGCTTAATGAATCACATAAAAAATCCAGCTGGTAGTTAACGTAACGTAAAGCTGATATTAATAGAGAAATTCTTCTCAATTATTTTTTCATATACTAGTTATTTATTTATTTATAATATCTATCAATTTTTTATTATTTTTATATCATTTTTAATTTAGAATATCTTTGAAATGACAATTAATATTATGATTGTCAATGTCATATGATTCTTAGAGTTTTTAGTAATTTCATTGAATTAAAAATTGTTTTGCACTTTGCAGTCTAAGCCTGAACCAATAAAATTGAAAAACCAGGATATAATGGTTTTAATATGAGCTTAGGGTTTGTTATTAATATTATTTATTTTTTATTATTTTTCTTTGAACATTGAATTGTTATTATTGATGGCCGAGCTGATAGACGCAGTTTTTAAAAACAGAGCCTACATCGCTTTTTAGCAAAGCAGCCTCATAAGGCTAAAATAATACTAGATGAAATGAGGGATTTGATTATCTCTCTTTTTTTCTCTACCGAAAAGAATTCTCACTAATCAAAGTGTTATTATATTGACGTGCTCCTTCACCCCATATATACATATAAATAATTAATATACGCTTAGATTTTTATTATTAGCAAATTAGGTAGCCCTACGGAAATGCACAATAAGCCATTTTATATACATACATATATGCATGTGTAGTTAATTCGAATATTGATAGAGAGAGCTCTATATGTATGTATGTATATGCAGGGGCGTAGCACCAGCTACTGTTTGATGTCAAATATTTTGATCTGTGTTGTGTTTGGGGGCAGCAGCAACAGCAATA